TATCCATTTGTATAAGCACGCTGATTTTAGCGACTTGAAAAGCTGGGGACTTTTAATTTGCAATAAAAATTCTATCGATACAGTTTAGTATACATCGATATAAATCGATTTTCGATTATATATCTAGACATAGTAATAATCAACTGCAAATATATCAACAAGATTAGCCAGTCTGCCACATAATTAACAGAGTATCTCTCAGGCGACCGCTCTCTACCAGAACTTGCTCTTTTTATTTTGGCACAGGCATTGCAAAAAATCTGTGAGAAATCCTATTTATATTTCGAAACAATAACCATTCAATTCGAGCTAACGATTCGGAGCCCAGGCCCAAACTAAACTGGACTGAACGTAACGAACCAATTGAGCCGGACACGGACACGGACACAGACCCTTGGGGAGATGATAGAAAGGGGGAGGGTGGGGAGGATTTGGGGGTGTGCGAGTGCGAGTGTTGTCGCATTTATTACCAGTGTTGCTGATGTTTGCCAAATATGTGCAAAAAAAAACTCACATTTTAGCTTTAAAGTGAAAGCATTTCCAATGGTCGTAGGTCCTGGCCACAGGCGCGACGACACAAACAAAACGTGCCCCGCATACAAATAAACAAGGATCAGTACAGAGCAGGGGGTGAAGTGGTGTATATATGTGTGTGTCTGCTGTGTGTGTTGTGTATGTGTTGTGCGACGAGCGTCGGAATTGAAACAAATGCCACAGCACTTGGCGTGCCTATAAATTTTTTACAAAATACGTGGCCATAGGTGCAGCTGTGGTGATGCCAAAGCTTTAGAATTGTCCTGGCCATGGTCACTGTACAAACAATACACACACACGCACACTCGCACACACACATGGAAACTCGCACACACAGCATGGTTCTTCAAAAGGACAAAACCCTAGCATTGTTTTTGTGCCAGACATCAAATGGCATTTAAATGCAGGCAGCATGTGTTTTAAAACTTTGCTACGCCTACAACCTCGAAGGGAGGTAGGGAATGTTGTGGGGGATATAGAATGGGGAGAGACGGTGGAGGGGAAGGGGGGGGGGAGTGGCAGGCAGTTGAAAGCTGCTTGGTTGCATTTCACCTTTAGCTGCTCTTCAGCTAGCCAATTTCGCCTGCCCATTTTCCATTTCTAATTAGCCATTCTGCAGCAGCTTCAGCAACTGTTGAGTGTGAAACATGTTTGTTGCATGCCTCATACACCCAATAACTTGCTACTCACTCATATTTAAGACTAAAGAAATATATTTCTTTTTGGAATGCTAAGAATACACTGCTCGCCAGAGCTATGAAGCTGGCCACCTTGTTTACCAACTTTAAGCACAATCGAGGTTTATGGATCATGTAATATATCTCTGTTTTTGAATGTATACATATGTGAATATAGAAAACACACTTGAGGGCTATCCTATTCAAGTGGCGATGAGTGTAAAATACACCAGCAAATATATCTCAAATAACAAATGGCGTACAATCTCAATTTACAGCTAAAATGAGTAGTGTCCAAGACAACAAACCCTTTTCTAGTTTGCTTAACCCCCACTTGCCACTGTATATTGATTGTTTTCTCGCAGTGTATGCCAGTCTTTGCAAAATTGCATAATAATGAAGATTTACCAATGGTATTTTTCGTATTTTCAGTTCGTAGGAAGACGAAACTGATGCAATGTCAATCAGAATTGCGAGACTCGATAGCTGTCAATGGCAATTACGTAGAAGTCAAGTCAAAGTCTTGTGATTTTGGACTGGGGCATGTGGCACAGTTCGTTGCAAGTTCATGTACATCATTTGTTCTAGCCGCTAAAGGAAATCCCCTCGGCTGATGCCAAAGCCACTTCACATTGGAGCTGCCTGGTTGATGTGCATTTGTCAAATAGTTTTGCAGTTGCAATCGTTGCACACCTTCACATGCTACTTGCCCCTCTGCCACTCACTCCATAGAGAGTTCTCGTTTCTCGTTCGATTAGTCAGTTGGCCAAATACATTGGGTTCCGGAAAATGGTTGTCACTGTCATTGGTGGATGTGCTACTTGCCTCATGTCGCACGTTTTATGGCCACAGCGGCAACTTTTTCCTTAGCCGACAAATTCAACGTCTGTTTCGCGTCAGCCTCATCCTCATTTTGTTGCAAGTTTTATGCTGCTGCTGTCAGTACTAGCTTCACTTCAAGTTTGGCTGCCACACGCGTCAACACTAGCAGCACTTGCAACACCCAATGAGCATATGTGAAGTGTTGCATCTTTTAGGCGTCCCACATCCTCACACACTCAGTTTCAACTTTTACATTTGCCACACGACAATTGGGGCAAATTTATAAGCGACTCTTGCCACAGACGTACCACAATCTCGTGCCACAGTCTGAAGCTGCTGCTGCTGATGTGTTAAAGCAGCTCATTTTTATTTCATTTATTTATTTAATGTTGACTAAGAGCAGTTCACAAATTTAAAATTACAGGTACAAATGTGATAAAAAAAAAAGTATGTTTAAAATGAAAAAAAAATGCTTTATTTACTTTTTTTCTATACATAATTTAATACATTTTGGACTAAACTCAATTCGAATTAGTGGGCTTTCAATTTTTAATTTTTGAGCGTATTTGCTTTATTCAGAAAACTTTTGCAATGTCAGCAGAAAGTTGAAAGCCAAATTTGATTTGCTATTTAACTTTTTTTTATGTTTTATTTTTGTTGAAGCGTTCTAATCAAGCATTTTGCTACTGCATATGCAAATTTTTACAAATATGCGAGTGTGTGAGTGAGTTGCGAGTGTGTGTGTGTTTGAATATAATCACTGCACATGAATTAAAAAGTTTTCGGCATGCGAAAATGTTTTGCAGCTTAAAGCAATTTGAAGTCATTTGTAGCCAATTTACAAATGTCTGCCGTTCACTCTTTACGTGTGTGTGTGTGTGTGTGTGTGTGTTGTCAAATGCAATTACAACTGTGAATGCATTCACACACACACACACACACACACAGACACATACATAAGGTGGCCAAGGCTTTTGTGTATGCCAATGCGCTCAGCTTTTCTCTCGCTCATCGTCGCCATTTTTTACCCTGTTCTTAAGATATGCTCCTAACGGGTATTATAATTGGGCAGATAATAATGATAAAAAGATATGGACATGGGGCGAAACTTCCTCTAACTATAACTTCTAGATGGAAAATTGATAAATATAAATTGATTTTTTGTTCAACTTCTCCTTTCAAAATCCAAAGGCTGGCATGAATTCATTTATTCCACTGCCACATCTTTATCAACACTAAAAGGATTTTCCAATTTTACTATAAGGTAATCCTTATTCTTATATTTAAATATATTTTTCTTTTCATATACATATTTATCTTCATGAACTTTTTACAGGGAAATTTAAAGGCACATATTCTGGGGTAAAGCATTCTTTTTTGTTTCTACTTAAATAAGTCATGCTAATGGCAAGCCATTAGCGAAAAATTCTCTCGCAGTATATGTGTGTGTGTGTGTGTGAGATAATTAAGTTCCATATGTGACTGCCAGTCGTAATTGTGTGTATGTGTGTGTGTCTGACAACGACTTTGCTAAATGCAAGAGAAATGCGATTTTGAAGGCTGTTGTTAAATATTTAAATGTGTTCGTCGGGCCAAGGTACTAACTAACTATTTTCTACCGATTCCGCAACTGTTATTCTTGTTGTAGTTGTGCTTCTTCTTGTTTTAGCCACTGATTACAGAGCGCTTACATCAATGCCTAATTGCAAAGTAAGCTAAAAATAAAAAGCTTACATTTCGCGAGCTTCTTTCAAGGTGTTTCTGTTATTGTTGTTGCCTATTATACCTGCAGCAAGTCATTAAGCAGCCCTGACGTTGCTTTTTATAGAGCTGGTCTAAAAGATTTGTTTGTTGGTGTTGCTCGTTGACCGCATTTTATTGATTTTGTGTACCATTTGGCTTAACGGATTATAATTAATGTCGTGGAGCATTCAAGGAGATGCTTACGAACAAATACAGATCGGATCTCTATATCAGATAGCTGTCATAGGAACGATGAGTTTTTCTATGAACAAATTTTTAAGTCAAGTCGTCTTAAACAAACGAATAATTTATGCATAGGAAAAGATAAAATTATAACTCATTATGCGGACTAAAATTTTGTTTGGCAGTTCTGCAAGGTTATGTGAAATTCAGCGTGCCTTTCCTTCCGTTGTTGATTGATAAAATTAGGATATCAAACTCCATTCAGTAAGGATATAGACATTTTACTAGTAACAAAAGGTATGGAGTGTCTGCACTTAATATTTCACATTAATTGGCCTTTTAATTTGACTAATCAACACGCTAATAGTCAGCGCTATTAACTCACAGACACACGGCAGACACAGAGAAAATGGACACTTTGGCTTTGCCTATGGCCATTTACAGGCCTTGCTTTATTATTATGAGTTTTGCAGTCAACAGTCAGGTGGTGTGGCATGTGTGGCAACGTTATGTGGCCGCTTTCAAAATTGCACTTTAATGACTTATTTGGGTTTGGTTGTTGCTAGCCCGCTGGCAGTTGTCAGGTTTATGCAATTAACAAAGCGATAAAGAGAGACAGATAGTCGGAGATAGAGAGCAAAAGAGAGAGCGAGAGAGAGAGAGAGAGGAAGGGAATATTAGAATCTATATGTATATGTGCCTCTTTGTTGCACAGCGGAAACGCACACTTGAGCAATGACGATACGACATTTCCTTAATGATGCCAACACAACACAAACACTGTCAACAATTTGTGTGTGTATGTACATCTGTGTGTGTGTGTGTGTCTGCTGTCTAGCTGTGTGCATACACAAGCAATTCACATAAGCCTTGGCTCATAAAAACCCGCTCTACTCTGAAGTCAGTCCGACGTGTGCAACATGGCGTATGTGTAATTAGAACTAAGTTGCAAACCCATTCTTTATTTTCATTTTTTGCCAACACTCGCTGCATTCTGTCATGCTGTCAGTCAGTCACTTTGTCACTCAGTTGTGAACTCACCTGACACCAACAGCTCACTGGTGCTGTTGACCAAATTGTCCATAATTGGCTGGAATGTGTAGAAGGTCAGTGTTTCCAATTTGTTTGCCTGCACATTGATTGACAGCAGCGCCGGCGTGCCACGCAGCAGTCCATTGTCGATTTTCTTTAGCAAATTATTGCGCAAATTCAACGTTTTCAAATTGTTCAAACCATCCAAGGCCCGCTCCGAAATGCGCTGTAAAAAAACACACACAAAAAACAAACAACAACATCAAGTTAGAAATTGGCAAATGGAAATTTGTTGCGAGTTCAATAAGAAACCCAATTATAAATACGCCAACGGGTTGTCCCAGGCATTAATTTGTAATTAAGCAGCTGACAGCTTGACAATAATAAACAGCTAAGAATGCACGAGTCGAGAGTGCTGGACGAGGAGTGACTCTCAACCCAGCGGCTCAAGAGAAAGAGAGAGAGAGAGTATGCTTTGTTGACAGAGATAAAACAATTCTGTGTCTCTTCTACAATTTTAATTTAATTTTTAACAATCGATTAATAATGTGTCTTATACAGCAATTGGCTGACCAGATCTTTGTAATTGTGTACAATCAATTTGTATCGATATAGGCGAAAAGGTTACAATTATCGATAAGATAAAATAAACTTGATCTGCCTAAAGTAAAGGAGAACTTATAATTATTTATAGAAACTTAAAGTCTCTTACTGTTATATACTCTGAGATCAGCTTGTTCATAAAGATACAATATTGATCAAGAATATATATACTTTATGAGCTTGGAGATCCCTTTTAGCAATTTTATGACTTCAGCTCGAACTATTTCTTGCTTTCTTCAACCAACCATTTTATTACTTCCTTTAATTATAGCTACTAGTAAATTCAAAATATAACTATAATAATACCATTCCCATAAGAATAGTAATTCAAAATAAGTAATAGTAATTAAAATAGTAATTATAATATTTTAAATACCCAACAGTGTCTGCAAACGAATAATGAATATCAAACTGCAGCAGCTTGAATATTTTACAGTCTCTTTAGCATTTATTTAAACTGTGTCATGTTTAATTGTATTAATGCAACAATAACAGAATTCTTTAGCTACCACAGCACCCCTTTGCCCCGTCGCTAACCTGTCGCCCTTGGCTGCTCCGTTATGTTTTGCTTGGCCAACAGAGCAAATAACAAAAATAACAAAAATAAAGCACAAAAAAAGAAGAACACAAATATTTTCTGCCATTTTTCCGCAGTTCTGCGTATCATTTTCACTCCTGCCGCTTTCCTTTGCTATTGTTGCCTTGTTTTTACTTGCGTATTTATTTATGAATGTATGCGTGACTGTGTGTATGTGTGCGTGTGTTGGAGTGTGTGTGTGTGTGTTGGAGTGTGTGTGTGTGTGTTTATAAAGCATATGTAGATGCATCTTTTTTTAACTTGTGTTCCGATTCGTTTGCTTCAGATTTTATTATACGGCTCGAAAAAAAGTGTTTATTTTCGTGAAAGAAGAAGGCGACAGTGAAAGTTTGACTGTGGCATACAGAGGCAACCCTTCCCCTTACCACCTACCCCCTCATCCACTTCGTCATCTCTTTTTCTGGCTGTTTCCTTTGCCGTTATTTAATATTCAATATGCTTTGTCTAGTGAAATGAAAAAATTATGCATATTAAATGAAAAACAGTCCAAATAAGACATGTGCCTTTATTTGTATACTCCTTCCGTGTATATACATACATGACTCGTAAAAATAAATAAATATATATATATATATATACAATGTGATATCATAGTAGTTTGGTTGTTTGCCAACGCTGATTGACATAAAAAATACATTTTATTGAGATATTTTGTTAGCTTGATGAGCGCCACTTGGCGTTTTTACGAGGCGCCGTCCAATTTATCCGATAGTAAAAGAAAAACACAACAAACAGAAAAAATCAAGAAAAAAAACAGTGAAAAAATTGTTATTTATGTGCAAATTTTGTGGCGGCTTTCGTAAACAAAGTTATGATTCAAAACAAATAAAATGTAGAAATTTGAACAAATACTTGACGTAATCAGCGACAAGTGAAAGAGTTGCCAGACTTAAAAGAACAAATTCAAATCGGTAAGGAAAAATATGAATCTTCGACAATTTATAACGATTATCCGAGAGCTCAACTTGTACAGGAAAAACACTTTCACTCACTTAGCTGCTTAGCTGCTTAGCTCTTTATTTATTTATCTCTCCCTCTCCCCTCCAAGCTGACCCCTCCCCGTTGTGTTCTGACAAAATCTAGGCACCTAAACCTTTTAACAGCAAATGATTTATGAAGTACAAAAGCACCAGGCCACAGAAAGAGAAGGGGGACAGAAAAAAAGAAACAAAAAAATGGATAACCCGGGCGTAAAACATGCAACGCAATTTGCTTTTATTGAAAAGGACAAGTAGCAAAAAAAAAAGAAAAAATGCCGAAAAAGGAATCTTTTGCGTCAAGCAAAACATATGCACATGTGTGATATGGGCCAAAACAATGCGACACTGAGGCGATAACAAGCCCAATCATTATGGCAACGACTGTGACTATGACTATGGCCATGACTATTACTACACTCGAAAAAAAAAGTATAAATAATATTCTATATAAAAATACGAAAATATAATAAAGCATATACTATATACTTTCTATAGAAAAAATGCACTCAAACAAGTTTATAACAAACCTGAAATGTTTCTATGTTATATATATATTCGACTTTTTTATAAATTGTAGAAATATCTGAACTGGAACTGAGAAAAGAGAAAAACACTGATGTTTAGAAAAAAACAACTTTGCCTTTTAAAAATATGAAGAATATGAAGTTGTGCTGCCCTTGGTGATTTATTTTCTGAGTGTATAACTATGAGAATGACAATGTCAGCGTAGCTTCCGCTTGGGTGCAAAAAAGAAGCTACACTTATGAAGGAGATTCGCATCAGTATCAGCATCCACATCCACATCAGCATCCACATCCACATCTCAGTTTCATGTCAGCCGCAGAGCATTCAGCGAAGATGGCAGCTAAAAACACTTGAGCAACAACTTGAGAGTTTTGTGTGTGTGTGTGTGTGTTCTACTGCCCCATCGACACACATATGTGTGCCAGTGTCGTCTGGGTGTGACATGATATGCGAGCACTTTGTAAAATGGAAAAGTGGAAAAATGGAAAAATGGAGACACGCAGGCAAAATGAAAAGCAAAGACGATGATGGCGCCTCTAACAATGTTGGCCAGGATTTACGCTTATCGCTGGGCCCACGCTTGTACAGCTATACACACACACTCGCACACACACGCTATGACATTTTCTATGCGCCGTGGCCATTTTTTTTTATGGCTGCTGCTTGCATATCGGATGGTCGAAAGGAGTGCCATAAATCCATTATGCCCATGATTTGTTATTCAATATTTTGTAAGTAGATTAACTTGCAGCGCACATTTGTTAGCCAACACATACACACAGACAGACACACATACACACACACACTAGTACACATTGAGTGGCGTTGAAGGGATATGTGCCACAGCATGTGGCAGACGTTGCGAATTAAGCTGTCTTCGTTGTCTTGCGGCGCGCCCCAAAAACATAATTTACCAATCTATTTATCATATTAGCGCCTACTCGGCAAACAGCAGAACGAAGGATTTACTCCAATACTCCCACCCCCCCCCGAAACTGTCTGCCACCTCAAACTTCAACTGTCTTCCCTTGTTCTGGTTGTGCTTGGTTTGACCACTTAAATCACCACAGAAATGGGCATTCGAATTGAATTTATGACACCAACAGTCAAACTTACTTTTGTGCCTCCCGAAGGATGTGCTATTTATGACCTTTCCCCCCGCACCTCCTTCGCTGCCACGGTTTCTTATGGTCAGCTGGCAAATTTATGGGCACTTAAACTTGCCCCCAAAAACTTGACTAAGAAATCAAGTGGATATAAACTTATTTATAGCAATAACTGTTATAACTATTTATTGTCTATCTTAGCATATATATTTTTGCGACTCACCTCAATGCGATTATCATCGAGTTCCAACTCAGACAGACTCCACAGCTCGGCAAAGACGGTGTCCCCAATAAAATTGAGATTGTTGCGCGTTAACTTCAGCAAATTCAGATTGCCCAATCCACGAAAGATTTCACTGGTCAGCACATTAATCTGGTTGTGGGCCAAATTCAGATAGGTCAAACGTGCCATGTCCGCAAAGAGACCCTCGTGCAGAGTGCTAATATTATTATTATTTAAGAAGAGCCTTTCGCAGAGTGGCAAATTTCTAAATGCATAGCGATCCATTTCAAAGATTTGATTATGCTCCAAGTTCAATTCACGCAAACGAATATGATTGGCAAATGCATCCTGATCCAGGGCCATAATATGATTGTTATTCAATATGATCCGCTCGAGAAAGGGTAGATTGGCAAAGGCATAACTCTTGACGATCTCCACCTGTGAATATTCGATGACAATGATGCTCAGATTCTTCAATGGCTCTATGATCATGGTGGGTATATAATCCAAGCGGGCATTGTTCTGGATGACAAATTTGAGTTCACGCAACCGCTTCTGCTGATAGAAACGAGTCCAGGTGGTGTCGTTCTGATGCAATCCCTCCGAGAACACCCAGCACTCGGCCTTCTGCACGGGCATATGATTTTCATCCGGTGTACAATAACACATCAATTTCATCTCGCGCCGACGCATGCAGAAACCGGTACTGTCGATGGGTCCATTGTAGCCAGTGCTGCCTGTTCCCGTTGAGGTGCCATATGCCGAGGAGCTGGTGTAGTAGCCACCACCATTACTATTGCTGGTCACTGCAGCGGCTGCTGAGGCCGAGGCAGAGGCGGTGGCGCCTCCATTGTTGCCACGTCCACGACTGCGACGCTCCTCCTTGTCCCTGGAACGTGCCTCAGCCGGCGTCATCAGGCAACAGCAGCAGCAGCTCAGCAACAGCAGCAACATGCCCCATCGTGGCAGCGAACCCATTTTATGGCGCTGATGATGCGGCAACATTGGGCAAAGAAAAGCGACGCGTTTCCTGCAAGACGGAACAGAACAGAACACAGAATGACTCAGTCAATAAAATGTTGTTTATCTGGCGCCAAAAAGCGAATACGTCCAGGTCAAGTCATAAAATAACAAAAGTACAGTCAACTCTTGAGCGTGGAACAACAAATGACCTTGCAGACGAGCTGAGGCACGTATTTGATACCCTACTCCGTGCAAACTTAACTGATTTCAAGCAAGCATGGGCATACATTTCCCCTGCCAGAAACTTGGCTAAACTCAAACGATTTTCAAAAGCAATTCTGTTTTATACGTTTAGAATGATCCAACATTTCAATTTGAAAACAAGATTTTGGCTTTAAGATCATGTAAAAATCCTAACCGAAAAATGAACATAACACACAGACCTACTTTTTACAAGACACTGGTTGATATTATGAAGACTATTGTATAACTTATCCTGGTGAAGAAGAAGAGGCATCGGCAAAGGTATACCTGGTAAGTCAAATATCGTTTTGTTCATTATTTTGCGTCTAAATTAATGCTACAAAAAATTGTATATCATATATCACATCAAATTTCTTTTGTGTATGAAGACTACATTTAAATGCTGGCTACTCGATTTTCGGTACAAATTAAAGCAGAAAATCGCATGAGCAAAGGGTATAAAAAGTGTTGCAAGCATTTTCCGTTTGGACTGCGTCCAAAAATACTTTGGTGTTCAGAGTGCTGGGAAATGCTTTGCTGGCAATTGATTGAGAATTTGTTGCTCCTGGCATTTACTTTATGTGCGAGGCACTGAACTTCTCTGAAATAGTCGCTGTGCACGTTATTATTTGTTGAGCAGGGCTGTATTTATTTCTCACTTTCTTTATTATTTATTTATTGAAGGCCGCATTTAAAATCTCAAATTGCGAACATCAAATTTGATGCGGCATTAAAAGTGAGAAATACCTGCGCCGATATTGAATCCAAATTTGTTGGCTTTGAGTTGCAATTCATTAACAGTGAAAAGTAATGCGTCTTTCCGAATACCCCTTTTGAACACCCCCCCCCCCACCCCCCCACACCCTTCGCCCTTTCCAGTTAACACCAGCAGTTGAAAAGTTAAAGCGCTCCATAAAAATGCTAATTAATGTTGGTAGCTTTTTACTCTACGCTCATATTTCATTTGGAGCGCCGAAAAAACAAACATTTTCGCGGTATCTCTTTCTCTCTCTGATTTTTCCGGACTGTGGAAAGATGGAGGGTGTGAGGGGGTTGTGGGATTTGTTGTGGGTTGGGGTGTGTGTGTGTGAAAAGTCCATGACATGGCCGTTTTCATTTTGGCCGCATTTATTTGTTGTTGTTGCTGTTGTTGTGTGCCTCCTGCTGGGCTTTTTCGCCCGCCTTCATTTGACGCTCTGCTAGATTTTCCTTTCCCTGCCCCCAACAGTCCCCCTTCGACTTACCCCCCGTAAATAAATTTATTGCGCTCATAAATAACTGCAACACTGTCGCTGATTGTTCGCTCACTGGCAATGTCTTCATCTCCCCCAACTTCCCCACTCGATTGCATTTCAAGTGTCATTTGGCAAAGTGCTCTCTAATTATGCTCGTTTTTACATTTAACATTTTTTATTTTTTACTAAATTAATAAGTCACATCACTGACATTGGGCATATTTTTTATTTTGGGCTAAAGTTGTTATTAATGAAGTGTAAATAAGTTATTGGCAATTGTCAGAGAGTGACAGTGATTTGCATAAAATATTATATTGGAAAGCTGACAGTCATTTGAGTTATTGACTCTGGCATGCTTCATTACATTTATTATCGTTATAAATCTTAAATAAAACGATGATAATGTGTTTGCTGTTTGTTTTTGCTGTTGCGCTGCTTAACTTGGGCTTAAGAACGTATTTCGCTTTGACAGCTGGTTCAAAGTTCAAGGTTCAAAGTGCTGCTGGCGAAGACCGCAGGATTAACTACTCCAAAAACACTTGGGCTGAAACTTGAGCAGCCAAAGCAGCAAAAGCAGCAGCAGCAGCAGCAGCAGCTTCATCAACAAGCACTTTTGATGACTTCAATTTGAATATCAAAGCAATGTCGAAACTAAATTGCCACACACACACACACACACACACATACCACAAGAGCCGCAGCTGTGTGAAATGTAGCCAGGGATAAATATATGGGGAAAATTGTGAGGTGAGAAGACTTTTAAGATTTTCCTGGCATTTTTAAGTGTGTTGTCAAGCAGCAAATCAAAAACATATGTATGTAGTGTATGTGTGTGTGGGTGTTGTGTGTGTAATTAGATTTCCACACACACACACACACACATATACATATATATATATATATACATATATATACTCATTGGCACATGTGCAGCAAGCGACACAGCCAATTACTCAAAGCCATGAAGTTTAACGAGGGGGTGGGGTGTGCGTGTGCGTGTGTGTGTGTGTGTGTGCGTGTATGATGGAGGCGGGTGGCGTGGATCAGTGCAAGCAAATGAAAAATCAATTTGTTGTTTATGCATAAATCATAAGATTTATGCGACTTCTCACAGTATTCATAAGTCATTTATCAACAGCAAAAAGTTTTCTATGTCACATGCCAGACAACAACAACAACAGCAACCACAACAACAGCAACAACAACCGCAACATCAACAAAAACTTTGAGCAAGCGTGACAAAGACACAGATTGAAGACACTTTAAAGCGTTAGCCAGAGCCATAAATATATTGAAGCGCTCAAGAACTCGAAAGTGAAAGTCAACCAAATCGAATTTTTACAACAAAATAATAACTACTCTTGGCAGAGTAGAAGGCGCTAGTCTACAGTGCTTGACTAGAAGAGAGTCCTTAATTTGTCATAAAATATGCGGCATGTTAAGAGTAGTTTGTGCAATATTTGCATACTATTATAATGTTATAAATATATTTTAAATATTATTATATATAACTTTTTTATTTTTGTTGTTTACAGTTGATGAACAATATTTCTGGCTAAACTATATATCAATTGGTCGGCTATATCATTACAATGGTATATTTTATTGTCAAGAAAACGAGTTATGTGCATTTTAACGATTTGTAATCCTTGATTCTTATCAATTTTCTAGCCCCCAATGGAAGTAGACTCAAATTTTAAAACTATACAGAGACATTTGAATTCTAGCACTTATCGATATGTGTGAACCACTGTAGTTATCGATAAGATGAAATAAACTTGAGCAGGCTAACATATACTCCTGTGCTCTTGTAGTCACTGAGACTTACTATTACTTATTTCTACAGATAGACACTACTAAATCGACTCAAATCAAGAATATATATATATATATATATACATATATGTATATATATATATGTATTTATTCTCAAAAAGGCCTTCGCCTGCTTGTTACATACTTGAGCAGAAGCATTTTTAATGGCTGCAACAAGCAACGTTCTTGCCTCGTCCTGTTGCAACAACAAGCGATTCGTCTTGTGCTGTTTATAATTTATATTTAACTTTCAATGTGGCAAAACGAGACGCATATGCTTTAAAGTGTCCAAGGGAGGGGGGCCAGTAGGGGAAGAAACTTGTTGACTTGTTGTCGACCCAGTAGGAAATTGGAGCAAAGCCGCAGCTAAGCTGTCACGCAAAAGGCAGGCAAAAAGAATAAGGGGCAAGCAAAGAGTTTTGTTGCACAATAAATGTTGTTGGCTCGCATGGAAATTTTCTTGACTTTAACGTTGCGAATTCTCTTCGCTGCTGCTGCTCTTCTCTATTTGCCTGGCGGTCTGACTGTCTGCCTGTTCGGCCGTCCGTCTGTCTGTCTTCTGTTCTGGCTCTTCGCTCGTTATGGGCCAAAGTTTGCGCCTTATCAAAGTCAGAAGGCCGCATTCAATGCAAAAGCATAACACTCGCCAAGGGGCAGAAAGGCGGGGGTAAGGGCAAGGGGGAAGGGGGAGGCGGTGGGGGTTGTTGTGGGTGTTGAGTGTGAAATGAAGTTGTGCAATAAGGAGATCTGCTGATGAAGACAATGCCTGCCTTGCTTGCTCCTGCTACTGTTGTCTGACGTGGCGTGGAAATTGTTTTCAATTTTCGTTATTTGACAAATGGTGACACTTCCGCTGTGCCAGAAGCACCAGCATCAGCAGGACTTTAACAATATGTCTGCCACATACACGAGCGTGTGTCTGTGTGTGTCATGAGGTTTTGCCAACAATAAGTTTATACTTCAGAGAGACGAGATGCGTTGCCGTCATCGTCATCGTTTTTGTTGTTTATGATATGCTCGTGTGCTCAGCATCATTATTATCATCATCATCATCATCGTACATTATTAGAGAGACAGCGAGAGAAACGGACAGAGAGAGGGAGACAGGTAGAGACCCATATTCACATATTTTATCCAGCTGGCCAGCTGCATGTATGTAACTTTAAGCTGTGACATGCCACACATGGCCAGGATCCCTCCTCTCCACCTGCACCCTCCGCCATTCCCCTGCTCTCCACCTACCCTTCTTCTCCTATCCAGCTAACGTACGTGCTTGACTTTGAGTGACTGCTCGGGGAGGCGAGATGCTCCAGTCCGTCAGTTACTCAGTCCGCTGTCTCCAGTTTTTTTTTAGCTGCACACATGGAAAAAACTAAAGTAAAAATATTGCAATCGGGCATACACGACTGCTTAATACACTGCTGCCTGATCACAGCTAGTCGGGGTTAAATGTGGGACAGAAATCAGTGCTGCTTCCTTAATCATTGAAAATTTAGTGGCTTCAGCGCAAAGATTTGGTTATTAGGCATTGGCCAAGACATTTTGTTAACCAATCTTAAGAGGAGGTTCCTATCAATCTACCTTTCAAGTCTCTTACAATTTTAATAATAATCGACCTTCAAACTGTGACAACTCTTGCTCTAAACTTGATTTTGGGAGGAGGTTACTAGTATTCCACCTTCCAGGTTTGGTAACTCTAACTCTAAAATGGCAGACAATATTGGCTTTTAAGAAATGAAAGAGTCTATCGATTCTTATCGTTTTGCAATAATAGAGTTTATCGATTTTCGGGAAACAGCTAAATTTCTTTGTCGGTTCAAAGTTTCAGTTTCAGACTTATACAAACGTAAACCTATATACACTTTTTATCTTCGTTAACAGAGTATAGAAATGAGACGAAGCATTCGCTTTGTCGGTCAGTTGGCGGCCTTCCTTGACCAAAGTGCAGTCATGAGTTGGACTTCTCTAGACAGCAGCAGACTCCACTATCCACTTCCCTGCCAATCCCCTCTTAGCCCCACTCTCTCTCTGTCTCTGTCTCTCTGCTGTCTGACAAATGGCACACAAAACGTTGACCATCAATCAGTAGAGTTATGACGTCGTCACATTTCTCCTCCTTTTTGTTTGCACTCGTTTTAGTTTATTTCCATTTCCATTTCTATTTGTATTTCTATTTCTTTTTATTGAAATGTTCCATTTGATTTGTTTAGTTGTGCCGTGCTTCTCACTTGATTTGCTTGCGTCACTCCAAAAGGATTACGCTTACGACTGCCACTTGCCATTGTCACATGTCACCAACAGCTGCAGGAGGAAGAGCAGAAGAAGCAGGAGCAGAAGGAGCAGCAGCATCAACTCTTGCCAGGATTGAGCAGAAATTGACTGCTACTCCAATTAGATTTAAGTCAACTGCACAAGTCTATAAGCCTGATTGAAATGTACAATTGACTAAAAAATAAATACACTTGCTAACAGATTACTCAGAAATGGTCTTTGGCCAACTCACTTTTTGGCCAAAATGTTTTGCTTACCCGATTAGCAATCACAACTGAAAACCAATGGGTTCCTTTTCTGTAATAACTTTTGTATCCTTGTGCTGCACAGCAAGAGCTTTTAATAAGCAACGAATGTGAGCTATGGGCTATTAGATATTAGTTGTTGTCCTATATGCATACAGTGCTTTCCAAATAAATAGCAACATCATCAAATTAGAGCTGGAGCAAAAGCTTGACTGAGTTAGTTGTTTGAGGTTCGCTTTTATGAATTTGTATATTAGAAATGATTTTCGAAATGAGGAGCAGGCTTACTGATAATATTATGGGTCAATGAATAAATGTATTTCTTATACTATAAATTGAAATGTGAAATGTTTTTATTGTGTATGTTTTGCAATATGGAAACGCCGCTTAGCATAGCCACAAGACCGATCGTTTGAATTCAAAGAACGTAAACCCCATTAAAAATCTTTTGGTTGACGTTAAAAAAGCAAATAACGAAGAGCCTCGGTTGGTCCTCTTAGTCTATAGGTCTATATCGGTACGAAAATCGTTGAACTTTTTCAACATTTTTGGCATTTTCTTTAACTTTTGGAATGCAGCTGTACTTTTTTTTAGCACCTCAACAAATCCATAATAAAAACACAAGATAGAAAGTGCTCTTATAAGGACAGGCTTAAAGATTTTGAGGTTGTTTTTCTACCTTATTTATGTGTATTTATATTTATTGTCAAGAATGTGGCACTCTATAAATACGATTTTATAAATTGCTTGCCATTTACTTGGCGACATTTGTGCCAAGTTAGACTGTTACCGCGCGAAAAAGAGAAAGGGAGAGAGTGAGAGGGAGAGAGGGAGAGAGGGATAGAGAGAGTGAGAGAGTTGTGAACCCTTTTGCTCTGCTTCTGCTTAATATCATGCGAAAAAGTCATTGCCAGCTGTCACAGTTGTCTCATAAATAGGTATATAGGTATATATATATTTCTTATATATATATATATATATATATATATATATCCCCATGCTCTCTATTCCCTGTACTAAAAGCAAAGCTTCGCCAAATCTGCACACATTGATGTTGTTGTTGGTGTTGCTTCTTCTGCGCACTTTTGACTACTTTTCAGTTTCTGCCCCCTCTCATTTTTTTGGTGTATTTTTTTGCTTTTTTTTTTGGCTTTTAGCATACCTGTCAGCAAAATAAAATGAAAAGTAGTTTTCAGTGCAAACTTTCGCTCATCGCTGCTGCGTTTGCCTGCTTGATGCTGCCTGCGCCATATTGTTGACACATATTTTTCTGGCAAAGTTATATGCAAATCTGCCCAACCATCCCCTTACCTTGCCCAACCACCACGCCCCCTTTCAATGGCATACGTATATATATAGGCAAACCATGCCCCAATGCACTTGAGCCACCTAGCCCATTACTTTGACTGTCATTTTTTCACTTAGAGCTCATTGCTTTTATTTTTCATTTTTGGTATGCGCTTGTGAAGGGTATCTTAATTTTGTGGTGAATCTTGTAAGCTTGTTTCCGAGTTCATAAAGTATACAAGTAAACTATAAATAAATGTCTAAGTTAACCGGATCGGTTCCCTATATCATATAGTTGCCATGATTACAATCGGTTGAAAGATGATTTATTGTATGAAAAACTTAGTTGTTTAACAAAATATACAAATCAAAAAAAAAATGGAAAAGAAAAGCTTTGATTTTAGACTTGTATATCCTATAGCTCTTATAGGAACAATTGTTACAATAATGGTTTTAATATGAATTTGGAGTTCAGTTTACAAGGGTGTGCAAACTGCAGCATTCCCAATATAGAAGTTCTATCATCTTCCTGTTATTTTTGGCTTGCTGTCAAGTGTCAAGCTTTAACTTTTGATGCACAATTTGTTGTTTGCCACCATTCGAGGAATCGTGTTGAAGTTGGGAAGTTGCCCGTGTTGGCAACTGTTTAATGCTGAAATTGGCAGCACCTGGCTGAATACTGAGTACTGTCGACTGTCCCACAAGATAAGTAGCCCTCGGACTCATCCTCTTGCTCTTGCTCTTTCATTTTCATTTTCTTTTTTTTTTTTGTTAGCCATTTTGGCAAGTCTTTACCTTATTTGTGTGTGTGTGTGTTGACACAGTTGAATGAGGCGAGAAGAGAGAGAAACGAAATTATTATTTTCGTCGTTGACTGCAAGTTTGTTGCAACTTTTCCTGACGCAAACTGAAAATTTGTCATGCTCGTTGAGCAGCTTTGCTAAGTATGTGTATTATAGTTGTTGTTGTTGCTTCTGCTGTCTGTCTGATATAATAAATTCTTTCAGTTTAGCAAAAATGCTCACGAAGACAAACATAAACCGAGAAACACAAACACAAACATAAATACACAAAATACGAGCATCGAGCAACGTCCCGCGATTGAGCCGAGGGTATATTTGTCGAAACTGAGTTGTCGTCTGGGAAAACTTTTAACTCGTCTGTCAAATATTTTAACAA